ATAACCCACTGTAACCCCCTCACACCCCACTGCACGCTGTCTACCATGGGGCTCTGAGGGTCATAACCCACTGCACGCTGTACTCTTTAGTCAACTGGACATCATTATCAATGCGCAGATCACTGCACTGGTACAAACTCATCTATACCGCTATGCTTGGACTGCTACCCCTCTACATATCCACTTACTATCACAAAAACAGTACAGCTATAGACTACGATCTCAAAATGACATCACTCTGTCCGTCCCCTCAGTACGCACGGTGCTTGGGAAAAAAGCCATATCATACTCTACCCCCTCGACCTGGAACACGCTTCAGCAGGAACTTAAGCTGACCAGTTTGATACCCATCACAGATTTTAAACTCATTTTAAAAAAGCTGGAGAAATCATCTGTGGGTGTTTGCACCTGCTATATCTGACTATATATGGATTTCAATGACTACTTTTTTTACGATGTTGTAATTTAGTGTTGCCTCTGTGTTTAGTGTCCTGTCTGTCTGTAACTTTGTGTGGTAGTGTTACCGCTGAACAGGTCTCTCTTGAAAATGAGACCTTGTGTCTCAATGATATTTTATAACCTGTATAAATAAAGGCTAAATAAAATAAAAAAATTCAGACCAATTAGGCTCTACCCAGCCAAGTAAGCTGCGGCCCGACTTCTCCACGGTCACAACTGGGTGATAGGAAGTTGGGGTACAATGGCTGTTAACCAAAGGCCGGTCAGGGACAGTGTGGCGGTTCGATGTTGTGGGACGACAGGGCGTTTATCCATCGCGGCTCCACCCAATGTACCCATAGAGTCCAGTAGAGGGCGGAGCCTGTGTGAGATCGAACATAGATGGATTTCACCATAAAACTATTTGGTATTCACCCTGAAAAAAAACAAACATAGCCCCACATACACTGTTGCTCATAACATATTTCTTTACCTCTTCTCATGAAATGATTGTGTGTTTAATAAGGAATAAAAAGAAGAATGTGTCTGAAAAAACAATTATTCCAACTTTATGTGCAACAGTGTAGATTTAAGACCATATGTGACCTGCTCCATCGAAATTAGTCGCATTGACCCGAAGACACATTTTGAGTTGTATACACTGTTGGAAATAGGAGATTCCTAGCTTTCTAATGATATCAGGATTGTTGTTGTACTCCGAATATTAAGCGAAATATGTCACATTATATAATGACTATCACAGAGTCATCATTTTGAGAAAAGACCTTCAAAGTTTCCTCTTCTCTTCACAATACGTAACCCACCGTTCTCTTAGCCTTTTAAAATAACACATCTGTACATGTCTATCTGATACTCAGTGCTGCAGTGAGAAGAGCACCTTTTAAACATTAACACATGTGACATGTCAAAGTAGAGGCACAAAATACAATTATGAAGCCTGAAAATGAGCATAATAGGGACCCTTTAAGGAATTCATTGTTTAGCACAGTCACGTAATTTAATGGAATTTTTCATGCTGTAAGCAACATTTTAACTGGATATATTTACTAGGGAATTCCAGTAATATTGAGTTACATGACAAGATGCAGTATGATCATAGATTGTTCAAATGCAAATCATAGAAATATTTGAAAAACAACTATACAGACAACAGTACTTAACTGGATCAGTGTGTTTCAGTTAGACTGTGAAACTGGGTGTGGGGAACATTTATTATAGCTGAAGAAAGAAACGCTTGAGGCTGGGTGTAATAGCACTTGTTGAATGTGTTCTGCAAGATGCAGCTGGTAGAAGGTCAGTTGTTGCAGCTCAACAATTGCAGAAGAAGTAATGTATATGTATGATGTGTTTACTTACCCAAAGTTGCTGGTGATTATATGTTTGGTTTGTAGTTGCATATAATGTTCAAAAAGGTATTTATTTTTTCTCATACTGCCTGTGCTGCAGCACCTCTTCTCACACTGTCTGAAACCAGTGCACAGTCTGCTCTGATTGGTTAGCTGGCCGGCTCTGTTGTGATTAGTCAACTGTTTAGAGATTTACGGCCTATCACGTACAATGTGTTGGAGCACTAGCCTTTAGAAGCACGAGTGTAACATAGTGACGTTACTATGTAAGAAGTGAACAAAGGAGTCCAATGGAGATGTTTCAGGCAAGGGGGGAGTGTGTGGGAGAGTAACTCCCTCTGAAGGGAACACAGGGATTTGAGCCTTTGCAGTCTTTGTTTTTTACATGCACAAAAACGTACATAATACATGACTACTGGAAAGGGAAAATCCCCAAAAACATAGTACGGCCCCTTTTAAATGAATGTTTATAGTCCACATTTACTGTGAAAACACAAATAATTAAGTCCAGATACTATTAAATATGCAGAAAATAATTTTAATTTCTCTTGTTTTCCTCCATAAAACAGTGGCGTTATGTAAGAAAACTGGAATCTAAAGGGTTAAACATCTGAAAATAAAGAATCTTTATTAGATTTGTATAGCTTTAACCAGGAACAAGGTTTAATGGCTTCAAGGTTAGCAGTGTAAGTTGGCTGGAAAATATGAAAATCTTTCTGGAGTGATTTTCTTCTCTTAGGGCGTGTATTCTGCCCACAGCATGCTCTGTCCTGATCTTAAGTGGGCCTACTGTCAATCACTGTGACATTTTACCAAGGTTATTACTGCCAATACAAAAAGGAAATACTTATAGCATAATACATTATATCAGCCTCTCGTTCTGCAGACAGATTATAACATAAAGCGCTTGTTGTCCTCAAGTGAATTGTAGAAATGTTTATTGAAGTTAGTGGTAGATACATGTTTCCCATCGGGGACAGACATTTACATTGACATTTTTTTATCCCAACACATCTGTTTCTATTCAACTGAATCAACCCTAGTTTTTACCATTTAAAAAAAAATTGTATAACGTTACATAGCAAAATATGCAATTATAGATTTTAGAATGACATTAAATAACACATAACATCATGACAGGGAGCCTTTAAAAAACCTTCTACCCAGCATTTACCATTAACCATTCATTCAAGAGCAACTATCAAAATCGTGTGAATATAAAAAGATTTGTAAAAGTAGATGAAACATGTTTAGATCAGGTCCCATTACAGAAAAAACAAAGTGCAAGTTAGTGGAAACAAATGAACAGAACAAACAATTTATGTTTTGTTTTTTACAAACATTAATTTTGTAATACACACAAGATTTATCTAGAAATCAGCTTTGGACTTAAATAGAGCACCTCAAAAGACTATATGTTTAGAATAACTTAACTTTTGACTGTAATGCAGTCTACCTTGAAACTACATTTGTTTTACTGAGGTGGAATGTGCAGGTGGCCATTGAGCTCAATGTATTAAAAATATCGACTATCTCCTAATTACTAAATGTACTTGTGTCCATTCTGCATGCCACATAACTTCTGACGCTAACCCTATACTTTCTGACGCTAACCCTATACCCTATAAGTGCTGAATAAGTTCACAAAAATACTTGCCAAAACCATCCAAACATTGACAAAAAAAAACTTGTTGTAAAGTGCTTTTTCTTCAGAAAACTGTGATAATGAATGTATTCTTTAATAAAAAAAAAAACAGGCCTAGTGGTGCACTATCATGGCATTATCTTGGGTGGATATGCTTTAGTGAAATAGAAGCAGCTACGAACATGCGTCTACATGTAGTTTATTTTCTTGTCAAACTGCTAACGCACACCCTCCACAAATAAACTGAAATTGACATACACTGAGACACTCTGTCTCTTGTTAAAATATCTGAGGCTGCATTGCCGGAAATTTGAACTCTATTTTACAGTTTCCATTCCTATATTATAACTCACTGAATTTCTCCTGCACCATGACCTTGCGGTAGGTGGGGGTTTTGCTCTCTGTGGTGCTAGAGGAAGTCACCACGTTGCTCTGAGAGGCAGCAGATGTTTTGCCCTTGCTATAAATGACCTTTTTAGAGCCAGAGACGCCATTCTTTTGAGACAGACCTCCTGTCTCCTGGACCAGATGCCCTCCCTTGCTTTGCCCTCCGACCACCAGGACCCTCTGAGATCCAGAAAGCCCCCCTGACTGCAGAGTGCCCCCCTGCATGAGGAGGGTCTGACTACCATGATGCCCTTTCATTGTCCCTGTAGGGACTTTTCCCTCCACCACCATCATGGTCTGGGAGCCAGAAAGGTTGCCAGTGTGGATGAGGTTGCCACCACTTCCATGGATCCCGTTCCCCTCCACCACCATCATGGTCTGGGAGCCAGAAAGGTTGCCAGTGTGGATGAGGTTGCCACCACTTCCATGGATACCGTTCCCATCCAACAGCACCATGCGTTGGCCCCCGGCTTGCCCACTGGACATCATTGTCTGTCCCTGAACCACCATGCCTTGGGCATGTCCAGTCTGGGTGCCGTTGAGCAGTACCATACCCTGCAGGTTAGAGGTTGGTGCCTCCGCCAGCATCACAGTGTTCTGAACCTGTGGCTGGACCATGTACTGCATCTGCTGCAGCACAGGGTTGGCGGTGGTGTAGTAGACGGGCTGCGGCTGCGGCTGTAGCAAAATCATCTGGCCTTGATTCATCATCCCTTCATTTACTGTGGTCCTCCCCGTGTTCACTGTGGTCATCCCTTCATTTACTGTGGTCCTCCCTGTTTTCACTGTGGTCATCCCTTCCATTGCTCTGGCCCTGCCGTCCTTCACCACCTGAGAATGTTCAGATTTTTCCCTGACCACAGTCTGAGGGGCGGGCGGCTGCACCTGGGGCGGAGGAGGCATCTGTTGGGTCATCACACTTGATGCTGAGGTGTGAGTGTGGATGGAGGGACTGGGCTGAGGAATGAAGGCTGGTTTGACCTCAGTTTGGATCTTCTTGCCTCCGCACACCTCAGCCAGGGTCTTGAACTTCATGCCGAGGTCATCGAGGAACTGCAGGTCATTCTCGGACTCCAGGAGGCTGCAGCAGCCCACTGATCCAGCTAGGGAGCCCTGACCCTCGTAGTCATGAACTAAAAGGCCATCCTTCCCTCCAAGGTTTTCGTTTTCGCTTCTCACCTTCTGTTTAAAAATAATAAAGAAATAATAAATAAGGTTACCTTTATTTGTGAATAGGTTCCCCAGTAGACTGCGAAATATTTGGTTTTAGGAAAGACATTTGCAGTGGTAGTAGAAGTAACAAATATTTAATTGATTTCTCACCTGACCGTAGTACTGTCGCAGGAAGTGGTCTGGCAGAGCCATGCCATCATACATTCCTCCCCCTCCTCCTGATTCTCTGCTCTCAAACTCCGAATAGTATCCTCTGCTGCTAGGCTGATTCCCCCATGTTTCTTCTCTCTGGGCTCCTGTGAAACCTTCTCCATGAAGAGCTCCGTTCATCCCATCCATTGAAGAGACAGATTTTTGGAAACCAATACCTGCCATGGGCGCCTGTGCAAAAGTGTTTTTAGCCATGACCATATTTGCTTCCTGTTGTACGGGCAAATTCAGTAGCGGCACCTCCGTGTTTTCGCCTTGGCCCTCAGTGCGGTAGTTAATGAGGTGAGATTTGGTGTCGAAAGGCATCTCAGTAAAGCCTGCGGCGGCCCCACATTTGCAGAAGAGCAGCAACAGAAGTAAGACTGAAAAAATACAACAGTTTTAGTCCAACTATAAGGTTTGTAGTGTGAACAGAGCCAAGAACCTTCATCCCATGAGCATCTCATCATACTCACATAGTAGCAACAGTAGACCCAGGAACAGCAGTCCGATGCCTGCAGGTCCTAACTCTATGTCTCTTTTGCTCTGACCATTTTTGCCTTGTTCTCCACACATCTCCCCATCCTCACAGGTGCACACTTGGACCGTCACTTTCTGTGGTTCTGGACAGGCCTGCCCTTGCTGGTCCTTCACCACAAAAGTCACCTCGTATAAACCGGGCCACAGGGACTCCTTGGCCCTCAGAATGGCTGCAGTGTCTGCAGGCATGAGACGAACAGATGATGAGTGTGGCAAGTCAATATGTTTTCTCTAATATTTTGGATAAAACTCTAAATTCAAATGTGTTTTTGAAATGACATTAATATGTGGTAAACACTGACTCATGTTGACACAGAGCCTGTTCTAACTATCTTCATACTTCAGTGTGCATATCTATTTGGATGTTTTCAGGTCTATTTACATCACGTTTAAATCTTCACCGTATTCTCCTCACCATTGTAGTGCTCCACCTGCCATTTGCCCTTAGTGCCCTCTGGGATGATTTCAAAGACAAAAGGAGCTCCATTGGGGAAAAAATCGTCATCTTTAGCCTCCACAATAACGGCATCATGAGGGGTACATACAGTCTTAAAGTCACTGGTTAGCGTGGGGCAGTGGTCGTTGAAATCCTCCACCTGGATGGCTACTGTGCCAGTGGCTGTTTTAGAAGGCATGTCTGTGTTGGAGAAATAACCAGAAATAAAAACAAATCATTCATTATTTCCTTTGTTTCCTTCTTTATTATACATACACAAGTTCAGAGACAAATGCATCAGTCCTTCTTCTGCCAGTGGGCAACGAAGGTCTCAATTGCTTATCGCCCAATTCATAAACATGCAGGGGCTGGATCGTTTATAATGAACCTGTTTAAATTATTATATTTAAGCTTAAACTTAGCCATAATTATGGTATTGGCCACTTTGAGTGACAGTCGGGTGCTGCCCACCTTAGCTTCTACAATGCTTCACTTTGAAACATTTCAGTTTAAGTCATGACCAGAGTTAGACTTTAAGCTTGATGTGTCATACTTTCCCACAGATAATGCTCACTTAGAATACTAGCATTACATAAAAACAGCTGATGCTGGGGGTAGATACAAAGTAGGTGGTACCTTCTGTAATGCAGAGTACTTGAGCAAAATATGTCCCGTTGATCAGGTGTGGAGACTCTCTATCTGGCATCTTGTTCAGTTTGATCTCAGCTGTCTTTGGGTCAATTGTGAGCCAGTTGTCAGGATCTGAGCCTTTGACATACCTACATCAGAGGAACACTGTGTTAGGTATTATCTTTAGTGTAGAAAATCAAGCTGATGTTGTACTTGCAGATTTTTTCATTTGTATGTGTGTGTTTATGTACTGACCTGACATTCTCAGCTGCTTTCCCAGTGTCTCCATCTATTGCGGTGTAGCTGCCAATTACTTCATTAATGCTGACAGAGCCTCCCTCTGAGATGGGAATAGCTTTTACTTTGGGGTCAAAACTTGGCCCCTCTGGCTGGTTCTTCACATTGATTTTGATGGGATAGGTGTTATATATGGTTCCACCACCTGAAGCACCTGTAGCACCGGAACCGCTTGAACCACCGGAACCGCTTGAACCACCGGAACCGCTAGAACCACCGGAACCGCTTGAACCACCGGAACCACCTGAACCACCGGATGCCCCTCCAAATCCACCATAAGGTGAAGCCTTGTTCTTTACAGCCAGTCCAAGTTCAATGTTTTTCACATCCTCATAATTCACAGCCTGTCAGATGGCACACATACAATGAACAGAGATTTGTATTAGCAAGTATAAAAAGGGGCCCTATTATGCAAATGTCCAGGTTCATGTTTGTATTTAGTGCCTGCGAGGCTCCACCAGCACCCGTCCGTCCGTCCAGGCGAAACAGAGGGCCTCATCATATAACTTTGCGTGGGGCCTCATGTTGGCCAGGGACGGCCCTGCCTATAACACACTACTGGAAAGGGAAAACCCCAAAAACATAAAAGACATATTATATTATATTTTGTGTAAAACTAGGACTGAGTGAAATTAAGACTCAAGGACAACTACATGTTAGCTGTAACAGCTGTTCGTGTGTAAATAAGTCAAGCTATGGTACTCACAAATTAAACGGCTTAGCTGAAGGAAGCCTTTGTGTTCCTGATCACATCCAACAGTATCAGATACAGTGTGGCCAAGGTGGAACCCACTGAATCACTCATTATAAGTTTACGTTGTATTATTATGTGTATCTTCAATGAAGCATAAAATACATTGTTTGATGTAAAGCTTATTGCCTGTTAAATTATACAAACGTAGCTGTTTCTGGACACTTCACATTTTGTATATATATTGCTCAGATGGCAGCCTTAGATGACACTGACTAATAGCCACCCTAAATGCTGACCAAAATGCCAATTAGTTCACAGTTTCACTTGTTTGTTTCTGAGTTAGTACCCAATTTGGTACCCCCATTCATGTCTACATCTAAAACTTTCATTATGGGCAAGCTTCTGTGTTGCTCACTCAGCAGTACCTTGTCGAGCATTAGGATGCCCTCGTTGGTTGCAGGGTCTGTTTTAATGCTGAAGTATCCGGCTTCATTGCCCTTGACGATGTCAAACATGGCTTCCCAACTATCTGTGGCCCTCATGTCCAAGTCCTCTGCTTTGATCCTCATCACCTCCACTCCCTCCGTGTTCTCCTCAATGCTGGCTTCATACTGCAAGTAAAACACATTATGAGATGCAGAATGTGTTTTATTTGTTGATGCAGTTCATGTTGACATAGAAGAGTGTGAGTAAGAAATCTACCTCAGATTTTTCCAAAGTGGGAAGGTTGTCATTCACATCTTTGACATCAATGACAACAGTGCTGGTTGCAATGTTTCCGCCTGATGCACCATTTAAGTCTTGACCTTGGACCGTCAGAATGTACTGATCGGCTCTCTAAAATAAGAAAAACAGTCACAAATTACTTACAGGCACCTAATCATATTGCTGTGAGATGGGACCAATATAAAAGGTGTGCATTTTAAAGGGGGATCAATTAGTTATAACTCAGTTTGCTCAGAGACGCAATGCTATGACTTTCTGCAACTGCCAACAGTTATAGAATTAACAGCCACTTAACTTGGTAATCTCATTCAGAGTTAGAGTGGGGACCTTATCATAAATCTACCATGAACAACTTTAAAGTGCTCTGCCTGGATGTTATATTCAATATTGTATATTGGGCTGCTCGATTATGGCAAAAATCATAATCTCGATTATTTGGGTCAATAATTGTAATTGCGATTATTAAATGCGATTATTCATTGACTTTGAAAACATCTATTTATTGGAGAAAAGAAATGTGAACAGTATGTTTTTAACAGTTGATTACCCTGAACTTTAAGTATAATTCAATTGAAAAACCCAAAAAAAAAACAATTATAAAAAAACAAAACAATAATAATAATAAAAGAATAATCTTTTTATTTCGATTACGTTGTTTTCGTAATCGTTGCAAGTCGTAATCGCGATTAAAATACGATTAATTGAGCAGCCCTATTATATATCCACCAGAGACACGAATGACAGAGGATTTAAGAGCAGTGGCAGCAACAATCAATTTTGTACTTAGAGAAAAAATCATGTCAAGGTGTTGCCCCGGTGGTCTACGATAGATAGATCACCGAGAAGATATATCTCATTAAAACCCCGATAGGGTATTTCTTAATTGTTTAATTCACTGGGGAATGTTTTAGATACCCTAAATCCAAAATAGATCAATTGTGTTGCCTATGTGAAGACGCATGAAGCATGCTGTAAAATCTCTAACATGCTTTGTTTTATTCAAGTTGTAAACTCTGTTGTGTCAATGCAAAAGTACATATTTTGCAAGATATGAGGTAATTACTCTGCACAAGTAAAGGTTCTTTAATAATCTATACGGCTTTATGCCAGCGTTTCTCAAACTGTTGGGTGCGCCCCACTTTTTTTTAAATACATTTTTTGGACCTCAGGCCGGAATCAAACCTGGGTCCTCGCGGGTGGTAGTGGACTGTTACAGCCGGAGACTGAGCATCTACAACGGAGAGTAAGTATGGGGTAAGAGTGTAAAGTTTAAGAGTGGGTTTGAGATTTGTTTACTCGTTGCGTACTTGTTCCACAAGCACGAAATTAATACACGGATTTAACACGAAGTTGAGCCACGAGTACACAAAATTAACACGAGTACAAAAAAGACACAATACAGGACAATAACAACGAGTACTAAGTACATGATAAAATACAGGGAAAGAAACATTACGGTTATAGACGGTTCCTTACCGTCTACTTCGTGAAATACCGACATAAACCGTGTAAATTACACTTGATTTTCACGAGCACAATTTTATAACCATGTAAAAGGGAATTATTTATTTTATTTAATTTCTAACCCTACAGCTAGACTACGACGACTTTAATGTTCAGAAAGCTCGGGGAACAGAAATTTCACTTGTTTCAGTCGGATGTGTATAATCTCTTGTTTGATATGAAATGTGTTAGACAGTCCAGAGTTCCTATTACATAAACAAACAGGATAACCACTTTTATCGGATGGACCTATATTTATATATAAAATTATGTTGTTTTGACGTTAAGTAAAACGTTCAAACCCCTGACAGGTCTGATAAGACGGTATGTTTCTCGTTTTGTCTAGAAGGTTAAGACCTGTTGACGAAGATGGAGTAATAAAGGAGAAAAATGTCCGTGAAGTCAATAGCTTTTATTACCGTTGACTACGACTTACCTCGGTCCGCTTACTCTTGAGAGACTAGCCGGATATGATAGGAACTAGTTCGGGTGAGTACCCTACAAGCTGTAAAGAGTTCTACCCTGACCAGAAACAGTTTTTGGTTCGGACCTGTCCTCTCCATGTCATGCTCTTAACGTAGGGTTAATAATTAACGTCACTTGAAGGTTTAAGCTTGAAGGTAGTCTTAGCCTCCTTAGTGGGAGAAATTACCAGTGTGTAGTGTGGTGTCACTCTAACTCGCCCCGCCCGGGGGACGTAAAGTTGGGTAGGATCATGGGTCCTCAGATCGATATCCTGTCACCCGGGTCGATAACATGTCTCGGGGCCCCGCTCGCTACCTCACTCCCCCCTTCCCCCTACGCGGCCCACGGCCAACGAGGTTCCCCGTGCCTTGTCCACCCGGAAAAGGTTCAGTGGTGGACAAGGAATGGAGGTGGGAGGGTTATTTCTACCCTCCCGGCCCGGTTCCGATTTTAACAGTTTACATAGCAAGGATTATTTGTCCCCAGAGGGTTGCGAAAAAATCCTACTTTCGATGAAAGTTTTTTATTTTGTTCCAGCACTCGATGAAAATGATATAAAAAAAATTTTACAACTTCATTTACGTAGTTGCAGGACCACGTGAAACTCGTGTGTTACTTAAATACCTATGTGAGAGAGTTTTGAGATACTTTCCCTCGACATAGGTAAAGTTATTAGGTTTGTAGACAGATCTTATACTAGCGTTTGGTTATTGTTTAGTAAATTTGAACGCCAATAAGAAATAGGAATAACCAATGGATAACGGTAAGAAAGAAAAAAAATTATAAAAATATATAAAAAAGGATTAGTGAGTGGGAAAATTTGACAAACAGAACAACAGACAATGACAGGATATCTGTGTCAACCTTATTAAAGAAATGAAACAAAAAATGTTGATCCGATGTAAGTTCGGGAACCGGAGGAGCTTAAAAGTTGGGAAAGCTGGGTACAGCACCGTTTTTACATGTGCGGGTATATATACGATAATTCAGTAGTAAGTTAGTTGGTAAAAAAACGAAGGAAAAAAAAGTACTTAGGTGAATTTGGTTGAATATTTCATGTTTTGATGGCTTTGTAAGGGTTATTAAAAGTTTCCTAAAATTGTTAAATTACGGCACAAAGTAATAAACTTAATAAAGTAATAAATACTGTTTTTTTTGGGTTTTTTGACTTAAAAAAAAAAAGTTATATTAGTTAATCAGTCTCCCTACCTTGAACAACCACCAAATAATCTCAGAACCTTACACAGTTTCTAATTCGTTGTTTTACTAAACTGACGTATAAGTAAAACATGCGATCACAGTCTAATGATGGAGACCTGGGAAGCACCGGTTTTTACATGGTGCGGATATTATTGACGATAATTTAGGTAGTATGTAGTTATAGAAAAAGATGGAAAAAAAAAAAGTACTTAGTATTTGGTCTGAAAGATTGGTCATGAGTTTTATGGTTTGTAAGTTAGTAACAAGTCCTGTAAATTTGGAAATTTACGGACAAAGTAATAAATTTAATAAATTAAAAGAGAGGTTTTTACGGAGTAACTGAAGGTAAGGTTTGGTGTAAAAAACTAGAGTGACGGTAACGTCATATTTTGTGGTACGTAAAACCATTACAGTCGTAAATAAATCTTCTCGTTCATCACTATAAACTATAAAAGAAGAGGTAAGGATGTCCTAATGTGGTTAAAAGGGTTGACGCTCGGCCTAGACGGTACAGGTTGCATAATGTGTAAAAGGGTGACGTCCGGTCTACTTCAGATGTAAACGTCAATAAATACTCGGCTCTTCACCCACACACACACACACACACACACACCACACACACACACACCACACACACACAACCACACACACACACAGCACGACAACACACACACACACACACACACACAGTACACACACACCACACACACACACACACACACACACACACACACACACACAAACTTAGTACATTCGCACGTGCCTAGTAAGGTACCTTTTTCCGGTAGAAAACATACTCCCTACTACAAACTACACAGCAAAACTTCTCGACGAACTAATGAGTTTTGTTGTTCTTGTTGACAATACACAAATACGTGGACGCGCAAAAACAACTCTCTCTAGTCAGACGTAGTTCTCGGGATTGATAAAGAAAAAAAAAAATCCACTCGTCTCTTCGCTCTTTCTGGACCTCGGTTTCTCGTTCCTAGGTTTAATTCTTCGGTACAGTCACGTCTTCTCTGAAAAAAAAGCATAACCCTGTCGACTTAGAAACGACTCGGAAGAAGACGGTCCGCGTCGACGTCCTGAGTAAAGACTCTATCTGTGTTCCAAGCGTCGCCCCCACTTGTGCGTTACGAGAGACCTCAGTCGGGTAAGAACCTTTTTTTTTTTTTTTTTTATTTTTTTTTTTTTTTTTTTTTTTTCTTGAGGAGCCGTGGGAAAAAGTGTAGACTTTCACCTCTCCTGTGACTCGGCGAGGCATGTGTCCTCCCCCTGTCTCTATCCTTGCTGCAGCAAGAGGTGCTCGACCCGCGCTTTTGGTCCCCCAACAGGAGTGTCTAAAACACCTCTTCCTTTCCGGCCGGGGAAGAAAAAAAAGACCCACCACCTACACGCCGGCCCCTGAGTCACGAAGAGAAAAGAGCGAGCGGAGTGTCTCCGACGAACGGCGAGGAAGGCACCGCCTACCTGCCCGAACGGCCGAATTTTTATTATTATTTCAGTCCGCGGAATAAACAATTTCAGCGGCCCCTGTGTTTGCGCCTAAGCTTTCTTCACAGTGTGGCCACTGGACTTTTTGTAAGCCGCGAGCGGGGGTGCGACCGCCGCGCGGCGGGCATGTCACGTTACAAGATGACGGTGTAAGGGTGGGTGTTCGGTAAGTCGGATTTCCGTATATCGTCCCGCACTTCACGGAAAGTCCTGAAAAGGGCCACGCCGGCGACTGCAACGCACCCCGCGACGGAAGCCACCGGCGGACCGAAGACCGTATCACCGGGGCCGTCCATGCGAAAAGGCGGCGGGCGTTTGTGGCGGGCGACGCTCGCGGAGGAACCGACGAGGCGCGGTCGCGGCGCGAAACTTCAGGTGG